GTAAAATCAGCATTCCTTATATCTCCTTTACCATGAAAATCCAGCCAGTTCTAGTTACCAATTCACCAATGGAAAATCCTTGTCTAAGGATAAACACTTCATTTTACATTCTTCATAACAAACTTTTATAATACAAGAAATCATAAAAATTTCACAAGTCTCATAACACATGGACATTAATTTGGATATGCAGGGAGTTCACAGTAATCTGCAGTGACCTGTTTGAATTATTCTTTCAAATAATACTTGCCACATCTGTTTTCAACTTGAAGTGTCAACCATCATCCAGTTTTTTCAAATAATTTTGCAAAAAAAATTCGTTTTTTGAAACTTTTGTCTAATATTTCAAGAATATATGCAAATAGATGATTTAAAAGGAAAACACAAAATCTGAGATTTGTGGGAAATTAAAGGTTGTGAATATCTCTCTGCATAGAGTGATTTTAAGGATCCAATTTTGGTCATACAAAACTTATAAGCCAAGTTAGTGCACAGTGTTACAATTTAGTGTTAAGTGCTACAAAAGAAAGAATTATCCTAGAGAAGCAATCAGATTAGGCAAGCAGTGGCTGAAATAGATGTGCTACTTCCTTGGCTTATTTCCTTATTCATCAACTAATACTTAAGATTTGCTCTGCTGGCTGTCAAATGAACAAAACAGAGACAAAAATTCCTGCCCTCACAGATTTCTTAAGCCTAGTGGAAAAAAAACACATAGGTAACTATGGAAATCTACTTGTAAATAATATAGAAACAGACCCTCCAGAGGTAAAAGGTATTATTTTTAGCTGAGATCAAAAAATGCAGGCTTTTAAAAAGCAGAGAGAAAAACAGGCACACTAAACATGTGCCCATTTGCAGTGAAGTTTAGATTAAAATGAGGACATGTCTATCCATGAGATATTCTAGCACACTGAAATGTTCTTTATGATACAAGCCTTTGTAGAAATTATTGAATGTACTATTTCTGGGACATCAATCCTTCAGTATGCCAGTAGTCACTGGGAAAAAGGTAGTAAGAACTAGTCCATAAAGAAGCTTTAAAGGAGTATCATTTGAGCACCATCACATACCTAGTGCTAGCCTCCCTGACCAACAGGGCCCCATAGTGCAATCTGAGTGTCCAAACACTCCGACTGGTTGCCAGCATTCCTCTTAGTCTTCCCAGGGGTAGTACCAAATTCAATGACAGTGAACCTGAGTAAAAGTTGAGGTGCCTCAGTTCAGATTTATTATTTGTGAATCAATTTGTAAGAGAAATCTCAAAGTTGTGAGATTGTTTAAATTTACCTATATTATAGCTAAGATTTTCAATGTGGCAATGTGCCACTTTACAAAATGACACATACTTTTTTTATTCTTGGATCCGATCTATTTTCCTGTGTGCTAAAATGAAAAGAAACAAACCCAGCTCATAAACTGTTGTGGAAATTAAATATGTAAACTGTATGAAAATAGTTGTGAACAAGCTCATTCATAATAGCTAACACTTAGTGGCACATACTACAGTATTTCTGTTACTACTTTACAGCAAAGGAAGAAACTGAAACTTAACAGAGCGAAGTGATTACATAGCTTGGAGGTAGCAGAACCAGAATTGGAACCCAAGAAATATTCAACTGTTAGCCCATACCTTGTGTCATACACCATTCAGACAGTGATGAAAAATACCCAAGGAGTTAGTCTAGCATAACTGTGGACTTAGTCAGTTATTGACTGAAATTAATGTCCATCTGGAACCTAAAACACATTCAGACATAGAATCTTTGTAGATCTCAGTTATTGGAATATTATATTGTAAAAGGGTAATGCTATTATAAGACTGGGTGATGTTATACTGTAATAAGGTAGGTCCTAAATAAAGCATGTCCTTATAAGAAAAATAGAAGAACATAAAGAGAAAGTTATGTAAGAATGGAGGTGAGGCTGGAATGGAGTCTACAAGCCAGAAATGACACAGATTGATGCCTTCAAGGTATTTCAAAAGCAGGGAGAGGGGCATAGGATAGTTTCTCAGTTTCCAGAAATAACCGACCATATTGACAATCATTTAGGACATCAGGCCCCCTGAACTATAAGTGAATAAATTTCTGCTGATTTAAGACACTGTTGTAATTTGTTATGGCAGTGCTATGAAACTAATACCAGTATATACCACATGGCTAGGCACAGTTCCCTACTTGGGGGCTACAGCACCCCTGCCTTCAGTTTTTATCACAGGAGACAGACAATAACATACATAATACAATGACAAGTGCTGCTTAGTACTACAAAGGAAAAAAATTGTCAGAGAATGGCCAGATGAAGGTGCTGAGGGTGTTTAGGTAATGTCTCCATAAAAATGTTTTAACAAATTTCAGTTATCTTGGCAATTCTTCACAGCACCATTTATGTAGGTACTCACTATGACTAGAAAGACAACTTAGAACAGAAGCTCAGCAAACAACTGACCTGAGTTTGCTCGACAGGCCAAGATTCTGAATTAATAAAAATGGCTTCCCTGGTAGAAACCTGGTTTCTCGTCTCTTAAGAATTTCTGGTGGCAGAATGGATTAACGCACAGCACCACGAAGTTAGCCACAGACACTGCAGCACAAGTTTTATCCCTAGCCAGTCAGGGGATGACCTTTCCTGTCGCTCCCACTGCTCCCTTCAGAAATGTACTTTGTTAAGCTGCCTGTTCTGTTCCCCACTCTGACTATGGTGAATCCTCTCACCACCCCTGCACCTCTGGCCTATACCCTAGTTCTGTATGTAAAAATAAATAAATCTTAAAAAAAAAATTAAATTTCTGGAGAGTAAGGCGGTACCCAGCAATACTCATCTCTCCCAAATTCACATCTCTTCCAAGAGTTCATAACCTCCTTCCTCTGTGAAGCTGTGAAGCTTACCAACCTCACTAAGGTTTAGGGTGATCAAATTTCTACCATCCCTCTCAGGCAATTGTATTGAGGCCACAAAATTCCAGAAAGTAAACACAGCTACTTTACATCTCTAGTTCCCTGAACTTAGACACTTATTATCACTTTCAAGGATGGCAAACCATAACAGCTAGGGGATCACCTGAGTCATTTGAAATAAAATGTTGTCAAAAACTTATACATCTTTAAACACTAAATGGAAACTTAGCTGTGTTTATTACACTATTTAACATTCATTCATAACCATGAAGTTCAAACATCAATCAAACTTCTTCGAAAAAAGCAAAAATTTCCAAAATTTTTTTGCTTCAGTGACATTCCTCAACAATTTCAGTAAAGACTAAACCAATTTGTTTGAGATTATTTGAATTTACATTTCAATATTGAAATTAATTGCAATACAAACACCAAGTATTGGTCAATTCCTAAGTATTTAAATTTCAATATAAAAATTCTACACATTTTCAAATAATGAACTAATAAACTTTTACGATATAATAAGTAACAAAATAGGATCATCGTGCCTACAATTTTATCTATGCTATTTGATAATTTTATTGTCCCATTCTTTCTCAAATTGGCTCAGAGTGAAGCAAATAGGACAATATGTAGAGTTCTGTTCCCCTCAGAACAAATAAATATTTAGGCCAGATTTAAGTTCATTTTGACCTTGAAGAACTTACTAATTTCCTCTCTCCTATTTCAACCAATGCTTCCTATTCATCACGCAGTTGTTTCTGCAGTTGCTTCAACACCTCATTCTGGGCAAGAGGTGTGTCTGAGTGTGGCAAATCTGATTTAGAGCTTCTGAAATACTTTCATGGCGACTGGAGCTAGCATCGCATCCCTGTTTTGATCCCCAACACCAACTTGGACTGCCTCCCAACTCAACTGCCTCCTTACTTTTATCCTTGTCCTCCTTACAGTATTTTCTCCACCCAGCAGTCAGCAAGTTACACTCATAAAACAAACAAAAACATAAACCCTAGGAAAAACCTTCCAACAACACCAACTGCAACTGAACAAAACTCCTGTTCCTCGCCAGTCTATCAAGTACCCTACGAGCTGGCTGTAGACTTGCTCTCCCTACCTCATTCATAGTGCTCCAGTCACACCAGTCTTTCTTTCTGTTCCTCTACCATGCTAGGCTTCTCTCCAAACTTAGACTTGTTGTTTCTTCTCTTTCATAATCTTCTCCTGAAATCTTCAAATAATGGTCAGTCATTACTCAACTGACCTCCTCCAGAAGAATCACCTCCACTTTCATCACTTCCTGAAAATTGTTTTCTAGCAACACTTAACTACACTTGAAATCATACTCCTTTATGTATATGCCTATTTCGTGCCTGCTTTCTTCTGCTCCTTAGCAGTCCTTGAGAGAAAATATCACCATTCCATTCCCAATACCTAGAAAGTAACTGTCACACTTTTTTGTAAATAAATGAATAGCTGTGTAACTTTGGGTAAGCTAATTAAGTCTGAATTACAGTTAAGCAAATAAAGAACAGCAAACAGCTTAACTTATCATTCATTCACTTTCCTTTGTTCACTAAGTTCCTTCCTATAACTCAGAAAACTTAGCAAAAATAGAAACCCAACAAACAAACACAAATTAGGTTTTGGCTTATTTAATAGAACAGATTCTGAAATACAAGAAAATAACTTCCTAGTTATTCATATTTTTAAATACATAGTTATTCATATTTTTAAATATTCACTTTAGAGTAGCATATGACTTGAGTGTAGCAAATCTAATTTAGAGCTTCTGAAATACCAACACAGTAAACCCTATTGTGGAAAAGGCCATAAAGTCTAAAATCAAAACACAAAGTGAATAAAAGAATTACTGCCCTTTAATTCTAGACACAGCTAATACCTGATTGATGGGCTTTTTTTTTTATTTAAAAAAAAATTTTTTTAAAGATTTATTTACTTATTCATACAGAGCTGGGGTATAGGCCAGAGATGCGGAAGGTGAGAGGATTCACCAGAGAGCTGGCAGACTGACGAAGTACACCGCTGAGGGGAGCAGCAGGCAGGCAGGTATCAAACTCATGTGGAAGTGGCTTTAAGCTTCTTAGTGCTGTGCTTTAGCCCGCTGAGCCACCAGGGGGGGCCTGATGGGCATTTTTACAATGTGAGTTTAAATTCAGCAAAATTTAAAGGCCCTCTTTTGTACTTCTGTTTAAAACACACTTCTACTGCCTTTTAGTACCTACCAAGTACTTTATTTTTCAATTTATGTACTAATATTAATGCCTTGCCTAAAATCAGACTTGCAAATATTTTAAATAGTAAATGTTATAGGTTACAAATTTGTTATGAAAAATTTTAATGAAAACAATCATACAAAAAATTAAATAGTAAGACTACTTAAATGACTTACAATTCAAACAGATTTTGCTTGCTGATATTTCTCTATTAGCTTGTTTTCATAAGAACTGATTATCTCCAACTGAAATCTACTTATTGGAAGACAGTAAGAAAAAGTGAGAATAAAGTACACAAAGCTCAAAAGCCTTGTGCTCAGCACTTATTGCTCATAAATATTACCTTCTATTTTAGCATTACTTTGAAAAGACACAAGTTTTACAAAACATGCCAACTTCAGTTAAAAGCTTTGACACAAGAAGTAACCACGTGTGAGGAATTTAACCTGACTTTTTTTTTTTTTTAAACAATTGTATTTTCCTATGAGGAACATACTACTCCAAAATTTACTTCAAAAGCTAATAAAAATTCATCACTAATAAACCAACTTTTGGAATATAATTATATAGCTTCATGTTACAATTTAAGAGACTTTTTCAGGAATCATATTTTTTTAAAAAAAGTACAAAGTTACATGATCAAGAAAAGTACCTTTTAATGAGTAACCAAAACATTGTGAAATATTCTTATTGCACATATGGCTCAGTTTCATCTTAATTTTACAAAAAAAAAAAATTTGGTTTGAAATAGTAAATGGAACAACTACGTTAATACAAGGAAGCACAATGAACAAGATGTTGCCCTGTCACTAATTATGCCTTATGAAATAATTTGCAATTTCAGTCATGCCTTTACTGTTAAACAATGTCATATTACCATTTCTAATATGCTAATTAAGATAAAGCTTAACATCTGTCCTGCTAACAACAGCTGAAAGAGAAAACACAGATGAATGTAACTATCATGTTTTACAATATATTTTTTATAATCCAAATTTAACAATTTAAGTCCAATCTGAGGTATATTAACAGATAAAAAATTCTAATCCACATTGTGGACTATATACCACGCAAACACTACAACCATAACAGCACACCCTGGAAGAAGGTAATATTTATATTTTTGCCACAGTGTTAGCTCGACTGTCACTTCATCTCTTTTCTTATTCTTCTTCCGGCGACCCTTCAGTCTGTTTTCAAAAGCCTCCAGCTCAGCCTAAATCAAAAGAGCATTTTTATTAAACTCAATATATACATTAATTTTATATTTTCCACTTAGATTAAAAATAAATCAATTGGAGATGACAGCAATGGCATACAATAAATGTATTGATTTGATCACTTTACATCTTCTCTCACTACTGAATCTATTCAACAAATTCAGAATTTAGGTAAGCAGAAAAGGAAATGCTGGTGAGGATGTGTAGAAAAAGGAACTCTCCTGCATTGCTGGTGGGAATGCAAAGTAGTACAACCACGATGGAAAACTGTTTGGAGGCACCTCAAACTGCTAAAAATGGAGCTTCCATATGACCCAGCAATCCCACTGGGGTTCACAAAAGACACAAAGCACTGATTCAAAAAGACACCTGCACCCCCATATTTACTGCTGCTTTATTTACAATAGGAAAGACATGGAATCAACCCAAATGGCCAAAAGTAGGTGACTGGATTAAAAAGATGTGGTACATATATACTCAGCAATCAAAAAGATAAACTCATGCCTTTTGCAGCAACATGGATCATGCTTAGTGAAATAAGCCAGAAAGAAAAGGAAAAATACCAAATGGTTTCACTCATAACAGGAGTATAAAAGACCAGAAGAGAAAATAATAATAATAATGAGCAATTTTATACCAGAGACATTTTACAGGGGTAGAGTGGGGAATGGGAAACCCATGGGGATTACAACTGAGATGGAAAAAGGCACAAAATGATGTAAAAATAAATATTACATTATTTAAAAATAAAAAGAATAAAAGCAACTGATAGTACATTAAAAAAAAAAAAAAACAGAAAAGGAAATGTAGAGTTCACGTGAGTGAAAAGGAAGTATCAGACCTGTAGACCTGACTTCAAAACTAAGTACAAAAATGTCCAATTAATCAGAATGCCAAAAATATAAACATTAACTTTACACGTCAGCATCATTAATCTAGTACAATATACTGCTTTTCACAAATTCTAAGATGTGTCCCATGACAATGGAAGCACTATAATACAATGCTGGTAATAAACATTCATGACCTGCATGAAAAAGATTCAACTGAGTAAAAAGAAGAATGTTGCCCCAAACTGGTATTTCTTTTTATCAAATATGTTTAGAAACAGTGAAAATTCTTCAGGGAAAAATGCTTTGTGTTTTAAATAAAAATGACTTATGTAAGAAATGGTTTTTAAAGGTAACAGGATAATACTCATTATAAAATGTGGATTTTTATTCTATTTCCAAGGACCTAGCTATTAAACTTTAGTACTTGATATTATACCTTGATAAACTGATTTATATATTTTGTTTAAAAATGTCAGCAAACAGGGAATATATTTAAATTTCCATCCATAATGGCTCATTAAAAGCAGCAGAAAGGGACCCTCTAAACTGTTTTTAATAATGTAATCCCCCAGAATTTCAGCCAATCCATGTGTTACTAGATTTGGGATATCAGGCAAAATAACTTTATAGATTCATGAAATATCACGGTTATTTTTAGTCAACCTTTATTTGTTACATTAATTGTTTCTAATGTCTTCCCTTAAGTCATACAAGTTTTAATTTCCTCACTCAAACACTATACCTTGTTTGGTAAGTATGAAGCATCCTAAAATGCAAACTGAAAATAATTACATGTCACCTGATAGAAAGCAAAGCAACTCTTTAGAGTACGTGATCTGTCTAGTACTTGAGTGAACAGGAGGTATCAGGAATATAACAGAGAATGGGTAAAGTCCTGCATTTAAGAATCTAATTGGCATTCAGCAATCAAAAAAAGATAAACTCATGCCATTCACAACAACATGGATGGAGCTATAAGGGATTATGCTCAGTGAAATAAATCAGAAAGAAAAAAAAATATCAAATAGTTTCACTTACAGAAGGAATTCAAGAGAACCAAATTGGGGGGCGGGGATAAGTATATTGTTATTACAAAACAAAACAATACAAAAAACAAGCAGGCAATTATAAACTAGAGAAATCCTACAGGGAAGCAGGACAGAAAGGGATCAGAATGTGGGAGGCTACAGTGATGACAGGTGAGGGAGGGGGGAAGTAAACATTATTATAAAATGAACAATAATGCAAATAGATATATAAAAGATAAAATTAAAACAATAAAAAAAGAATCTAATAGTACATATACACAATGGAATACTATTCAGCAGTCAAAAAAGATAAACTCATGCTACTTGCATCAACATGTATAGAACTGGAAGTGACCATGACAGTGAAATATGAGCAAAAAATAAAAAGTATTAGATGGCTTCACTTATAGGAGGAACATAGGAAAACTCTACAAAGGGGTCAGTAGGGGAAAAGACAAAACTAGCAGGCAAGCAATAAATCAGAGACATTCAGCAGTGGAGGGACAGGGAACAAAACGGGGGGGGGGAAGAGCACAAGAGACTATGGTGTGACTGTTCACGAATATCTTGGTGGTAGTTTTATAGGGATTACACCTGGGAGGAGAAATCAAGCAATGTACAAAAATGAACAATGTAAAAGTATATTTAAAAAGTTTTTAAAAATCTAATTAGAAAATAGGGGAATGTACTATTAAACAAAAGCATAGACTAATAAACAATACTGATTTGTTACAGATAATCCACAATTTAGTAAAATAAACACAATTAATTGTAGATGAATGAAGAAAGGGGATCTAAGAGTTGCTCTAAAGTAGACACCACCACACTCCAACTCTCATCCCCAACCAAAAATAGGGAGGTTAAAAGTTATAGCTGGAAAATGGATGAAATAAATTGCAATTGTCAAAATATGTGAGAATATACAAGATCTCGAGTCTTCAGAGATGCATTATATTTAGATTTAAGTGAATAAATGGCTAATTTTTATTTGTTGTCCAGAACAGAACAGAGTTGACTAGACTCTATTTTGTACTTAGAATATATCTAGTGTTTGCATAAAAATTAACAACGATGTAGACATAAAACTGAGCATCATGCTTTGTTACCTGCTGTCTTCGTTTCTCCTCTTCAAGCACAGCTTTGGCTTCTGCTTCTTTTATCTGTTTATAGATATTTCAACAGTACAAAAAATTAACATTATAATCATCAAATTTTATAGTCTTTTGGGTTTTTTTTTTTTTTGAGATTTACTCATGCATACAGAGCTGTAGTACAGGCCAGAGCTGCAAGGTTGGTAAGAGTATTCACCAGAGACAGAGCAGAACAGCCAGACTGACAAAGTACACTGCTGAGGGGAGCAGCCGGTAAGAATAGGTCTGCTGCACCACGTGGGTCACCTCCCTGGGTGGGGATGGAACTCAGGTTGAATTGGCTGCAGCCAGTTTTACAGTGCTGTGCTTTAAATCTGTTGTGCCACCAAGGAGGGCCCTATATTGAGTTTTTTAGTATCTTCCCAACAAGTCTCTGCTAAACCTATACAACTTTGGGGAGTTTTGTACTGTACATTATTTAAAGAAACATGAATGTTATACTAAAAAGTGCTGTCAACAAAGATACAGTCTAGTCAACTACAAGTGAAGGAAGTAGAAGTCTTGTATCTTATATAAAATCAGCTTATAAAAAGAATCAGCTTAACAACTGTAATAGATATTACATCACCTTTCAAAGAGTTGCAACAGTGTAAACTGGTATGATTTCAAAACTAGATTATCTTCTCTTGAGTTAGCATACTAAGAAACTACAAGCAATTATTAAATATTCCTTTGTCTAGAGTTGAAATAGATCACCTGGAAGGGAATCTTTAGTTTCAAGTAAAGTCAAGTGCTATTTGTAGATTGCATTAATGGAAGCAAATAGTGACACAAGAGGTAACCCAAACAGCAAAGAATCCCTAAACCTAACTTTTATCACTTTAACCTAATTTTCAGGAGGTTTATACTAACATTTAAATTAACAACTATGTCCCAGAGACCACATATACTAACAGGTACAGGAAAAATGAAAAATCTAGTATGCAACAGATAATAAAAGCACATCTGGGGGTTCAAAAAAGAACTATAAAACTAGACTTAAAAAACCAACCAAAAAGAGATTTTAAGTCGCTTATAATAAGCACATAAACAAATGTACAATATAAGGGAAAGATTTCAGCACGGTAAAACCAACTTTAGTATTACCTCAGATGCTTTTCGCTTCATTTCCTTGCACATGGTGTCGCATTCTATTGAAATCTGGTTTTCACGTACTTTGTTGCACTGCAATTCCTACAAATGAATTGTTTTAATGTCAGATTTTAAGTTTTCCTTAAAGTCCCAGCTATGTGCCAATAAAAAAATTCCCTCACAGATTAAAGTCATGCAAATTATTTAACAGTTACATCATTAATATTTAATGATCACACATTTGCAATTAAATGTCTTAGGATAAAGAATGATTATTTTTACTGCAAAAAAGTGAACACTATAAAATTAATATCATTCACTTAAGATTTACTAGTGCCACTATTAACTTCAGTTTTGTTTTTATTCTTTACTGATTCTTTCTACTCTTCTAAATGTTCCAGAGTAGTGCCATCCAATAGTTGAAAAAATGGAAATTTTCTACAGCTGTTCCTCCCAATAAGAGTAGCACTAACCATGTGATCACAGAGCACTTAAAGTGCGGCTTACTGAAATCAAAGAAATGACATTTTACTATTATTTATTAGTAAAGTGAAATTTTACTATTATTTACTAGTAAAATGAAATTTTACTATTATTTAGTATTAATTCATTCAGAAAAGCTCTATATGTGGCTAGTAGCTACCAACTCAAATAGTGTAGTTCTAAAATGATTTTCTGGAGAACTATACATTTTTTCTCAAGTAGTAAACCCTTTTTCAAAAAGCTGAAATGAAAATCATTCTAAAGATAATATATGTACTTTACTGTTTCTATAAAAAAATTAAAAACAAATTACTTTTTTTTGATGACCAGATATCAACACTATAATTTGTTATTCTAATAAAGTAGAACTTAATTTAAATACTTTTAAACTTTGCTTTTGTAGATCTTTACCTAGATCTAATTCATTTCCTATTTCTTGCTTTCTGATGTTACTTTTGCTCTATGTGTACTTATTTGTATTGATTTCTCCTTTTCTGCATATCCTCTAAGTGTACTAGAGTTAACAAATGAGATAATCAAATCCTATGAACAAAGTGCATATGCATAAGTGAAAATATTTTATTTCTTAGCAGGGTTTTCCCCTTTTAGTCTACTTTTTGGCTGAGGTTCATGATAAATAGTTTCATGTTCCATGGAGAGTGCAGTGGAAGAATGACATCAGTGAACATTAAACACAAAAATAAATGTTGTGTGCTTATGGACATTATCAGTGTAAAGGAAAATGACATCTATTTTCATTTAAAAGGTATTATAGTGTCTACTATGTGGCAAACATTATTAGGGATGGAAGACACAATAAAGAGTGTATTATAGTAATATTGAGTGTTAATAATAGCAGCTACTACTTATTGAACATAGCAGTCATTGTGCAAAACGCTGTATCAGCATTACCTCTTTTATACCTCTCAATAATTCTATGCTTAAATTCTAGTTTAGAGATGAGGAAATAAGGGTACAGACTTCCCTATAATCACCTGACTCATGGGTTTAATATAAAGAATGCCAAGAGGGAAAGAGCAGATATGTCTTTTTTTTTAATTATTACTCAGCAATTAAAAAAGAGCACCTATGTCTTCCTAAGAGGAGCAACCCGTAAACAGTAACATGAAATTACAGAGAAAATCTGAGAAACATGTCAGTTTAAAAGTGACTTGACTAAGTACTGACAATTTATAAGTTTATAAGGCGTGCTTCTGAGGTTTTTTTTTAAGGCAACATTTTCAGAACATAATACTGAGAGCAAAAAGTCTCCTAAGTAGAGCAATATGAGTTAATTCAGAACGATTCTTAAACCATGACACTCACCTTATCACTCACATTATATCCCTTGTGTAAAGAACTCAAAACTGGACCACACTGACTCTCTCTCTCCAGGAAAGGACACAGAACTTGGGTGCAACATAATCTTTTACTAATGAAGTACAGAAAACTATAGCCAAAGCTGATTTTCAACATAAACAATGAAACAGACAAGCTAATAAAAAAATTCTACAAATTAAGGACTTAAAATTAAGAGATTAAAAACTAGCCAAAGAACTACCAAAATAAAAATCACATAGGAGAATTTTTCCACTCATTTAAAATACTTACCTTTTTAATTCTTTTACAAGGACATCTAAGTTTTACCTTCTGGTTGCAATTAAATGGACATTCACCGGGATGACACATTTCTTTGCACCTATGGCCACAAGGAAGCTGAAATAAAACCAAAATAAAGCAATTATATACATACATTTTCATCACATCAGCTTTCTCTCTCCCACAACGTTTTTAAGTATGGCTACTGTGAAGCTAGGAATTTTTTTTTTTTTAAAGATTTATTTATTCATATGGAACTGGGGTACAGGCCAGAGATGTGGAGGGTGAGAGGATTCACCAGAGACAGAGTGGGGACAGAACAGGCAGAGCGATGAAGTACACTGCTGAGGGGAGCAGTGGGCGGGTCAGGAGAAGTCTGCCTCGCCATGTGGATCTCCTCCAGGGCCGTCGGGATTCGAACTCATGCAGTAGTGGCTTTAGCTTCTTAGTGCTGTGCTTTAACCCACTGCGCCACCAGGGAGGGCCTGAAGCCTAGGAATTTTAAAGTATGGTCCCAGAACAACAGTATCATAATAGTGTAAATACATATTAGAAATGCAAGTTCTTGGGTCCATTTCAGGACCATAAAACCAGAAACTATGAGGTAGGACTTACATATCTGTTTTAATAAGCAATTGAAGGGATTCTAATAAATGCCAGTGTTTGAGAACCATTGCTATAGCCTTAACAACATCAAAATGTCACAAACTAGAATGAATTCTTTAGAGGCAACGAAATGGACAATGTCCACTAGATTGTTCTAAACTATAATAGACATTTAGATTATTCCCAGTCCATGGATATAGATGATATATCCATATCCATATATATTATATATATGTATATGTGTGTATCTATATCTACCTATAGATAGGTAGACATATAGATATAGATACACATATATACATATATATGTGTGTGTATACTGTATGGATGTTATATGCGTGTGTGTGTGTGTATATTATTTTAAGAAAACTCAAGTAGACACTAACAATAACTGAGGCTCCAAAACAGTCTAAAATCCAAAAACTCATGATCATGAATAACAAATTTTTAAGTAAACAGTGCACATCTGTCTAGTCTTTCCAAATGTCATAACATCATAAGTGAATCATCCCCAAAGCAATGCTAAATGAAAAATTAGCCATCCCTGAATTATATTTTTTTATTTCTAACCAGAATATAATAACAAGTTACTGAGATAGATTAAAAATTAAACATTCTTAGCTGCTCTTTACCTGGAATCTGAAATTTGTATAAAAGAAAATTTATTTTGACAAGGGAAAACTCAGTATTTAAATAATTCAGAAAAGTAAATTTGAAAGTTCCCATGTCCCTAACTTCAGTTATATAACAAAGGATTATTAACATATTCACTTATTACTTGAAATGGTATTCTTTCTTAAAATATTACATAAATTTTAAAATTCATAAGTTCAAGTTATAATACTTCTTAAATAAATATCCAGTGTCCAAAGTTTCAGTTAAAAGGAAATATTAACAAAAGGCTTATCATGCACTACTACTATATTTAAAGTCTTTAAATAAAATGGTAAACACATAGGTTAAGTGTATATAGACAAAGAATTAAAAGAAATAGTACTGGTATGTAGGTCTAAAGGAATTCTTTTATAAATTGCCACCCAAATGAAAGAAATAGCCACTCTCCTACCTCCAACAACTTCTAGATTGCTGAGACATTTAGATTGCTGTATTACATTTTCATAGACATTAATCATATTTTAGTGGGTCCCCAAAAACCTAAAATCAGATAACCAAACAAAAAGAAAATCCAAGATAAACAAGCTCAAGAAGGCAATTTAAAAGGTCCAGTTAAACCTTACCTCTTTAGGACACTGATTTTTGCAACAACTGAGGAGGTTCTTTTCATTTACATCAGCTGTAGTTATTTTTCTAAAAAGAAGGACATTTTGAAGACATTCAAACTGAAATTCGTCTTGGAGCTTTCTAAAATTTATCCTTAAGTTCCAATATATCCAGAAGTTATTTATTTCATTTTTTAAGAAATATTTTAATTGTCTCTGTAACAATTATCTTTCTTTTTTTTTTTAATGCTCATAGCCCATTAGCTCTTTGCTACCAACAAATCAAGTATCAAAAGAAGGAAGTCCTTTCTTCCATTGCAGGAAGGAAGTACAGCATCTCAAATCCTACCATTTCATTATGACTAGAAGGTAGCATATCTACAGGCTTAAAATTTCTTATAAGAGGAAATTAAATTATCCATTCCTAGCAACTCTATTTCTCAAATTCCTCTGGGAACTTGAAAGGTCTAGAAAAAGCAGAGAAGACTGCGCTAACATCACATCATAAAAAGAAGTCCATCCTGGAGCTAGGAGGGATTATGCTCAGTGAACCAAGTCAGAAAGAAAAAGAAAACTATCAGATGGTCTCACTTATAGCAGGGATATAGGGGAACCAAACAAGGGATCAGGGAAAAACAAAATAGGGAGTGGGAGGGAAAGGGATCAAAACAGGAGAAGGAAGAGCACAAGAGACTATAGTGATGATTCACAGGTATCTTGGTGATAGTAATTTTATGGTAATTACACCTGAGAGGTGAAATCAAATTTGTACAAAAATGAACAACAACGTAAAAATATACAAATAAATTTCTAAAATAAGGATAAAAAAAAAAAGAATAATGAAATCCATCCTATGTGGAAATACTGGGAAAGTCCTGGTAGATCAGGGCTCTACCTAACAGGAAGGAGCTTTTAAAAAGAGCACAAAATCCAGGAGTTAATTTTGGGAATGCAACATCTGGGAAGAAGATGAAAAGAGAAAGGCACTCTCTGGAGACCACATAATAAGAGAAAAGAAGAGTGGGAAACTTAGCGCCCTGTAAGACAAATTTTCTTTTATTCATTAGTATCTTCCAATTAATAAGCAAGATTACGTTCTCAGTTTTCTGTACAAATTTCCAAAGTTAAATACTGTAGTATTTCATTTTTAAAACTGTAACAAAATAATTTTACATTTAAAAAGTATAAAATTTGATTTTTAAAATTAAGTAAAGCATGAGATGAGACTGTAAATGACAAAAACAAATTTAAAATAATGTCAAAAGGCATTTTTCAGAATTATGTATGCTCAAACAATCAAGAACAAAATCATATTCCCAAATTTAACTTGTGCAAACTAGACTTACTAGATTTACTTGAATGAAACAGAGCTGAACAAGTTAGTTGAATTATGTTAGACAATAAAAAGAAAAAATTAGAAACTTCTTCCCTTCCATTTTATCTACAAGTAAAAATTTGCCTTTTTTAATAAAGGTGATATTCTAGCATGGTAAATGCTATAACATTTGAAGCAAAAGCCTACTTTTAAAGTTTATGATTTAAAAATTATGCCTAAATCATTATGTATACAAGTCAATTTTTGACCCAACAAAATTCTACTTTGATACTATATTTGACAGTTATAGGTCTGCTTCCCCTACTTTTTGAAAAGTACTGACTCAACACTTTTCCTGATAAAATATACAGAATCCCCAAATAGAAGAAAAAAAAAAAAAAGGAAAGAAAAGAAAAGAAAACAAGAATTGCCTTGGCAGAAATCAGGGTGAAATATCTAAAGGGCAAAGTAAACATTGTAATCAATTTTCTACTGGAAAATCTAGTCTACGGAACACAATTGAAAAATATTTCTAAAGTATTCTACAGAAGTCTAGACAAGTTAAAACAACTTTGACGAGACGAAATATTTTTCAGTCTACTTACCTACATTCCACATATAGGCTTGTGATCTTGCAGTGACATTTTATTCTAAGCATCTGAACACAAGGAGGACATTCTCCAGGGTGACATGGCAAAACACATGGGTGAGGACAACCCAGTGGTCGTGATTTAGAGCACCCTTCCTCACACTGAAGACATTCTGGGCCAGCCTGATAAATAACATGGAAATAAATCATCTAAATTAAGAGTCTAATATTTCTATATTTTAGAGTTATATATCCCATTAGGAAAAGTACTTCTGCAGCTCTTAGAGATTTTTTTAAAAATAGCACACACCTTTACTTATTTAAAAAAAAATACAAAATGAAGAACAGTAAAATTATCAATGTGACTTTAATTCACAAAAGTTTTTGTCTATAAACCTCACTGAACTACTTCAGCATTACATGAAGTATCACTACTAAAAATGTAAATCACTTCCTAAAGAACAGTCAGTGGTATTAAAAAATAAAGTAAAATTATCAATTCATTATATTTAATCATCTTCAACCTAAAAAAAAAAAAACTGTTAATATACAAATAAAAATTCCCAAAACATTCAATATTCATCTTGTTAAACAGATCTAGAGGTATCTCTCTGCTCTGGTTATTCAACAATTTAACTAGTATCCATTCACCATAAAGGTTAATAGCTTTGTTTTTAAAGTTTGTGTAGAAGAACTGGGTGTAAGCCAGAGATGGGGGTGGAAGGGTGAAAGTTGTCACCAGAGACTGAGTGGGGAGCAAACCAGGCAAATTTACTGAAATACACTGCTGAAGGGAACAGCAGGCCAGACATGAGTTAATCTATATGTGGATTATCTCCTTGGCCAGGGATCAAGACTTAACCCCTAGGCCACCCAGGGAATACCCAGTAAAAGACATTAATAGCAGAACAAGAGAGAAAGTAAGAGAGCTACAGATATAAATACCAAGTCTTAAATATATTTTATTATCATTTCTAAGTATAGTCCTGATTACAAGAGTTACTATGCCAATAAAATTCTGAGTTCTTTTTCACATATAGCACTGAAAAGTTTCAAATTACAAAAATCTTTTAATTTTTTTCTTACTTTAAAAATTATATTCACTAAATCCATAAATACTTAACATTTATGTGAATGCACAAGATGGGAACGTTCCCTGACCTCTAGAGAATTTGTATTTACAGGACCTTCCTGGTGGAGCAAAGGGTTAAATAAAGCACAGCACTAAGAAGCTATCCACAGCTACTGTAGCAGAAGTTCAATCCCTAGTCAGGG